GATCAGGGTCTGGGATTTGTCCTTCGAGATAAAAATGTCACGTGGCATGGACGCGGCGTGAAGTGTAAATGAGCGCGATAAGAGCGATGTTTGTGTCCACAGTGTGTCCGTGCGCGCGCGAATGTGCAGTGTGTTTTGTCTTCGCGTGTACAGCCGCGTGCATCTGTACGTGACAGAGCGGTGGTGTTCGTGGTCGCAAAGAACCCGGCGACCCGCATCCAATTCCCGCTCACGACCAATGACAGTGGCGAATATTTGCGCCGATCATTAGGCCACGCCTGGGTCGACTCAGCCTTAAATGAGTAACCTGGTGCGGTGTGTAGACGTGGTGTTGGCCAGCCCCTCGTGTGCCGGGCCGCACTCGTCCCCCAGCAGCCCCGGCGAGGCGACACGAGGGATCGAGCGCAGTGCGCGCGCACGATTTCCCAAACGACCACTCCATCACGAGTTTCTCTCCCACTCTCCCCCACACTCTCTACCGCACTCTCTCATACTCCCACTCTTTGCTATTTTCTCATACTCGCCCACTCTCTCACTATCCCCGACTTTCTCTCCAAAATATTCTACCCTCCCCTACTTCCTCCCCTCCTCTTCAACTCTCCCCTACTTTCTCCAGCTCTCCCGAACTCTCCCCAACTCGCACTTTCCTCTACTGCCTCCACTCTGCCACCCACAGTCTCAGTTTCTCAACTCCCTCACTGACTCCCCCACAACTCCGCACCCCTCCCCCCACGCACCCCTCCCCCCACGCTCCCCTCCCCCCACGCCCCCCTCCCCCCACGCTCCCCTCCCCCCACGCTCCCCTCCCCCCACGCTCCCCACCCCCACGCTCCCCTCCCCCCACGCTCCCCCCCCACGCTCCCCACCCCCACGCCCCCCTCCCCCCACGCTCCCCACCCCCACGCTCCCCACCCCCCACGCTCCCCTCCCCCCACGCTCCCCTCCCCCCACGCTCCCCTCCCCCCACGCTCCCCACCCCCCACGCTCCCCTCCCCCCACGCTCCCCTCCCCCCACGCTCCCCTCCCCCCACGCTCCCCTCCCCCACCCTCCCCTCCCCCCACGCCCCCCCACCCTCCCCTCCCCCCACGCTCCCCTCCCCCCACCCTCCCCTCCCCCCACGCTCCCCTCCCCCCACTCTCCCCTCCCCCCACGCTCCCCTCCCCCCACGCTCCCCACCCCCCACGCTCCCCACCCCCCACGCTCCCCTCCACTCACGCTCCCCTCCCCCCACGCTCCCCTCCCCCCACGCTCCCCTCCCCCCACGCTCCCCTCCCACCACGCTCCCCTCCCCCCACGCTCCCCACCCCCCACGCCCCCCTCCACCCACGCCCCCCACCCCCCACGCCGCCCACCCCCACGCTCCCCTCCCCCCACGCTCCCCTCCCCCCACGCTCCCCTCCCCCCACGCTCCCCTCCCCCCACGCTCCCCTCCCCCCACGCTCCCCTCCCCCCACGCTCCCCTCCCCCCACGCTCCCCACCCCCCACGCTCCCCTCCCCCCACGCTCCCCTCCCCCCACGCTCCCCACCCCCCACGCTCCCCACCCCCCACGCTCCCCTCCACCCACGCTCCCCACCCCCCACGCTCCCCTCCCCCCCACGCTCCCCTCCCCCCACGCTCCCCACCCCCCACGCTCCCCACCCCCCACGCTCCCCACCCCCCACGCTCCCCTCCACTCACGCTCCCCTCCCCCCACGCTCCCCTCCCCCCACGCTCCCCTCCCCCCACGCTCCCCTCCCACCACGCTCCCCTCCCCCCACGCCCCCCTCCACCCACGCTCCCCACCCCCCACGCTGCCCACCCCCACGCTCCCCACCCCCACGCTCCCCTCCCCCCACGCTCCCCTCCCCCCACGCTCCCCTCCCCCCACGCTCCCCTTCCCCCACGCTCCCCTCCCCCCACGCTCCCCTCCCCCCACGCCCCCCTCCACCCACGCTCCCCACCCCCCACGCTCCCCTCCCCCCACGCTCCCCTCCACCCACGCTCCCCTCCACCCACGCTCCCCCTCCCCCCACGCTCCCCTCCCCCCACGCTCCCCTCCACCCACGCTCCCCCTCCACCCACGCTCCCCTCCCCCCACGCTCCCCTCCCCCCACGCTCCCCTCCCCCCACGCTCCCCACCCCCCACGCTCCCCACCCCCCACGCTCCCCTCCCCCCACGCTCCCCACCCCCCACGCTCCCCACCCCCCACGCTCCCCTCCCCCCACGCTCCCCACCCCCCACGCTCCCCACCCCCCACGCTCCCCTCCCCCCACGCTCCCCACCCCCCACGCTCCCCACCCCCCACGCTCCCCACCCCCCACGCTCCCCACCCCCCACGCTCCCATCCATCCACACTCCCACAGCCCCTGGGGGGGGGGGGCGTGTGTCCGTGTGTCCGGTGAGGCCAGCGCGAGTCAGCGTCGTGTTTCCGGGCGCCGCTCTCACGAAGGCGCGGGCATTGTCACGTGTAAACACAGTCATTAATAATGATCATCGAGACACAAAGGCGGCCGGGCGTGGTAAATATATATTTGTGGCGCAGTACTGAACAAAATTAGCGTACAATGAATGCACTCGCATATACACGCTAAGATCGCATAAGACAAAAATCCCCCGTATAGCCTTAACGGACTTTTTGGGGCAAATGCTGTTCGAGAGCACCTCTGAATGTCGTCACGGCACACGAGGGGTGGGTGGTCAGAACCACGCTCGGCCGCCTTTGTCTTCCAAGTGGTGATTTTTTACATATCACTCTCGGTACTTATTTCAGGCTGAGTAAACATTTGGGAGGCCCGGGACTGGTTCATATAATCGTCATTGGTGTTGGCCGTGAGCGGGAATCTAACTCATATTTTCCGGGTTCATAGCCCACGCGCTCACCGCTGCACTACCGCGTTGCGCACGAGAACAACAGCTGACATTCGCTACGAAGTGGCGGTAAGACCAACGCAGCGCTTTGCAGGCTAAGTGCACCTTGAGGCCACGCCAAGTGTCGAATGCCCGCTGACTGGTCACAGGACAGACCCAGATGCCATGGGTTGACTGAGATGACTGGCCGATGCACTACCTGTCCATAATAGAGGGGGGATTGGGTGGATTTGGATCGTGTAAGTATAAATGTGTCGTTAACCCTGCCACCACCCGACACAGCCAGTAAGTCAGGTTGGTCACGTTCATGAAACACGCCAGTCGGTGACTAGTTCAGCACACCGGTGTGTTGGAGAGTAGACCACGGGTGCTCCCCACTTTGCCAACTTGCTGCGTTCTAATCCGCCCGGCGCTCTGCTCGTTGCTGTGAGCGTTGCTCCTCTGCCCTCCGCTGTTGTTGGAGTGCGGCCGTCTCCCAACCACTGCCCCCAGTAGCAGCGTCCTTCACGAGCCTCCTCCACCGAGGTCGATCTCGACACGTGGCGGCGAGTGGCAAGCGACCACGGAGCTCCACGTCCTTCCGTGGCAGCAGGAGCCCCGTCTCTGCGCACACAGCGCGCAGGGCGGAGCTGAGCCAAGGGCCGTGGACTTCCCTGCTGGGGTGAGGGGGTCGGGGTTGCGATCCGGCTTAGGGGGTGCACAAACTCGGGGCAGGATTCAAGGGATTAGGGCACGGGGATTGTGGAGGCAATGCTGCTCGTTGCCCGCAGATGCCCTTTCGCTGCCCGCGGAGAAGGGCAGGACACCCAGCCCCCTGTTCCGACTCCACCCCCCCACCCTTCCTACCGTGCCCCTCCCTCCCCGCCCATATCTGGTGTCATTGAAAGTGAATGATCCCCACCCTCCATGATTTATTAATCGCAAATATTTTGACGCCTCCGCACTGAAACAAGGCGATCGAGCCGCGCACACGGAGGGGTCACTGCGTTCCCGCCCCCCCCCCCGTTGAAGACGTTACCCTCCACCCACTACCGTGTACCCCCCCCCCCCGCCCCCCAATTCAGAGGCAGCTCCTCGAGGTGGTGGCTAGGGGGGGGGGCACTCACAGTGCATGTTAGGGAGTTCATCGCTGGCAGTGAAGTCGTTACATATCGCCATCGCTCCCTTACTTCTGCCAAATCGTGTCGCACATTCCGTGCGTGACTCCCAAAATCTGATTTTAGTCTCATCCCACTCATGGCTTGCAGGGGTGGGGGGGGGGAGAGGTGGGGGCGGGGGGCACACGAGGGGTGGGACTCGACTCCATGACGCCACTTTGACAAATCGACTAATTGAGCCATCACCAGTATCACCACCATCGGTGTAATCGCACCCGAGCCCCGGCGGGTGACCCATTGCTGGAGGAATAACCACGGCACCGGGGACCTCACGGCACCAGGGACCCCACGGCACCGGGGATCCCACGGCACCGGGGACCCCACGGCACACGGGTCCTAGGGGAGTTGGTGGGAGCTGGGATTGCAGGTGAGTGACGCGTCCCGGGCCTGGCTCAGCCGCTCCGCGTGAGCCACAAGTGCCTGCCTGCTGTGCGTCGCCCTTCGCCACCCCGTGCGTGTGTCCACCACGGGGGCTCTCTGTGTCCGCCCGTGCAGCGCGTGGAAGCGAGGCTTGCAAACTGGGACAGCAGCAGCTGGGCTCGCATTAGCAGCGGCAGCAGGGCGGTGTCAGTCGTGCGTGAGAGGTGAGACTGTCGCGACTGTAACGACTGCACGGACTGGAGTGACTGCAGAACGCGTATCGATCCCATACATTCGCAGTGGCAGCTGAGTTCTGAATGAACAAGATTGGGGGGCATCCCCCTCGCCCCCACTACTATGACCCCGCAAACTCTGAACCACCTCCCACCGCTGTGGCCCCCTCTCCCCCCTAGCCCCCACCTCCTCCCAGAGGCTTCGCCTCCACTCTGGAGGTCGCACGCATTGAATGACCCCGCCCCTCAACCCCCCTACCCCCTCCCCTCGGTACCCCCACGCACAGCAGAGACATTGCAGAATCAACAACAGCAGCGGAGGCGGCGGTCACAGCGATATATCTGTAATAGTTGTGGCAGTGGTATAGGTTTGGCACTTGTGGTTGGGCCAGTAGTAGTTGTGGGAGTGGTGGAGTTGTGGGAGTGGTGGAGTTGTGGAAGTGGTGGAGTTGTGGGAGTGGTGGAGTTATGGCAGCAGTAGCGTTGGCTGGAGTAACATCAGTACTACCACCGAATCACACTCTATGCATCTGATCTTGGAAGCTAAGCAGCGTTGAGCCTGGTTCGTACTGTGTGTGAATGGTGCCTGGTTCGTGTTGTGTGTGAATGGAGCCTGGTTCGTGTTGTGTGTGAATGGAACCTGGTTCGTGTTGGGTGTGAATGGAACCTGGTTCGTGTTGTGTGTGATGGAGCCTGGTTCGTGTTGTGTGTGAATGGAGCCTGGTTCGTGTTGTGTGTGAATGGAACCTGGTTCGTGTTGGGTGTGAAGGAGCCTGGTTCGTGCTGTGTGTGAATGGAGCCTGGTTCGTGTTGTGTGTGATGGAGCCTGGTTCGTGTTGTGTGAATGGAGCCTGGTTCGTGTTGTGTGTGAATGGAACCTGGTTCGTGTTGGGTGTGAAGGAGCCTGGTTCGTGCTGTGTGTGAATGGTGCCTGGTTCGTGTTGTGTGTGAATGGAGCCTGGTTCGTGTTGTGTGTGAATGGAACCTGGTTCGTGTTGGGTGTGAAGGAGCCTGGTTCGTGTTGTGTGTGATGGAGCCTGGTTCGTGCTGTGTGTGATGGAGCCTGGTTCGTGCTGTGTGTGATTGAGCCTGGTTCGTGTTGTGTGTGAAGGAGCCTGGTTCGTGCTGTGTATGATGGAGCCTGGTTCGTGTTGTGTGTGATTGAGCCTGGTTCGTGTTGTGTGTGAAGGAGCCTGGTTCGTGCTGTGTGTGATGGAGCCTGGTTCGTGCTGTGTGTGAAGGAGCCTGGTTCGTGCTGTGAGTGAAGGAGCCTGGTTCGTGTTGTGTGTGAAGGAGCCTGGTTCGTGCTGTGTGTGAAGGAGCCTGGTTCGTGTTGTGTGTGATGGAGCCTGGTTCGTGCTGTGTGTGAAGGAGCCTGGTTCGTGCTGTGTGTGAAGGAGCCTGGTTCGTGCTGTGTGTGATTGAGCCTGGTTCGTGCTGTGAGTGAAGGAGCCTGGTTCGTGTTGTGTGTGAAGGAGCCTGGTTCGTGCTGTGTGTGAAGGAGCCTGGTTCGTGTTGTGTGTGATGGAGCCTGGTTCGTGCTGTGTGTGAAGGAGCCTGGTTCGTGCTGTGTGTGAAGGAGCCTGGTTCGTGTTGTGTGTGATGGAGCCTGGTTCGTGTTGTGTGTGAAGGAGCCTGGTTCGTGCTGTGTGTGAAGGAGCCTGGTTCGTGTTGTGTGTGAAGGAGCCTGGTTCGTGTTGTGTGTGATTGAGCCTGGTTCGTGTTGTGTGTGAAGGAGCCTGGTTCGTGTTGTGTGTGAAGGAGCCTGGTTCGTGCTGTGTGTGATGGAGCCTGGTTCGTGTTGTGTGTGAAGGAGCCTGGTTCGTGCTGTGTGTGATGGAGCCTGGTTCGTGTTGTGTGTGAATGGAGCCTGGTTCGTGTTGTGTGTGATGGAGCCTGGTTCGTGTTGTGTGTGATGGAGCCTGGTTCGTGTTGTGTGTGATGGAGCCTGGTTCGTGTTGTGTGTGAAGGAGCCTGGTTCGTGTTGTGTGTGATGGAGCCTGGTTCGTATTGTGTGTGAAGGAGCCTGGTTCGTGTTGTGTGTGAAGGAGCCTGGTTCGTATTGTGTGTGAAGGAGCCTGGTTCGTGTTGTGTGTGAAGGAGCCTGGTTCGTGCTGTGTGTGAAGGAGCCTGGTTCGTGTTGTGTGTGAAGGAGCCTGGTTAGTGCTGTGTGTGAAGGAGCCTGGTTCGTGTTGTGTGTGATGGAGCCTGGTTCGTGTTGTGTGTGAAGGAGCCTGGTTCGTGTTGTGTGTGAAGGAGCCTGGTTCGTGTTGTGTGTGATGGAGCCTGGTTCGTGTTGTGTGTGATGGAGCCTGGTTCGTGTTGTGTGTGAAGGAGCCTGGTTCGTGCTGTGTGTGAAGGAGCCTGGTTCGTGCTGTGTGTGAAGGAGCCTGGTTCGTGCTGTGTGTGAAGGAGCCTGGTTCGTGTTGTGTGTGAAGGAGCCTGGTTCGTGTTGTGTGTGATGGAGCCTGGTTCGTGCTGTGTGTGAAGGAGCCTGGTTCGTGCTGTGTGTGAAGGAGCCTGGTTCGTGCTGTGTGTGAAGGAGCCTGGTTCGTGTTGTGTGTGAAGGAGCCTGGTTCGTGTTGTGTGTGATGGAGCCTGGTTCGTGTTGTGTGTGATGGAGCCTGGTTCGTGTTGTGTGTGAAGGAGCCTGGTTCGTGTTGTGTGTGATGGAGCCTGGTTCGTGCTGTGTGTGAAGGAGCCTGGTTCGTGTTGTGTGTGAAGGAGCCTGGTTCGTGTTGTGTGTGATGGAGCCTGGTTCGTGCTGTGTGTAAATGGAGCCTGGTTCGTGTTGTGTGTGATGGAGCCTGGTTCGTGCTGTGTGTGAATGGAGCCTGGTTAGTGCTGTGTGTGATGGAGCCTGGTTCGTGTTGTGTGTGATGGAGCCTGGTTCGTGCTGTGTGTGATTGAGCCTGGTTAGTGCTGTGTGTGATGGAGCCTGGTTCGTGTTGTGTGTGAAGGAGCCTGGTTCGTGTTGTGTGTGATGGAGCCTGGTCCGTGTTGTGTGTGATGGAGCCTGGTTCGTGTTGTGTGTGAAGGAGCCTGGTTCGTGTTGTGTGTGATGGAGCCTGGTTCGTGCTGTGTGTGAATGGAGCCTGGTTCGTGTTGTGTGTGATGGAGCCTGGTTCGTGTTGTGTGTGAAGGAGCCTGGTTCGTGTTGTGTGTGATTGAGCCTGGTTCGTGTTGTGTGTGATGGAGCCTGGTTCGTGTTGTGTGTGAAGGAGCCTGGTTCGTGTTGTGTGTGAAGGAGCCTGGTTCGTGCTGTGTGTGAAGGAGCCTGGTTCGTGCTGTGTGTGAAGGAGCCTGGTTCGTGTTGTGTGTGAAGGAGCCTGGTTCGTGCTGTGTGTGAAGGAGCCTGGTTCGTGTTGTGTGTGATGGAGCCTGGTTCGTGCTGTGTGTGATGGAGCCTGGTTCGTGTTGTGTGTGAAGGAGCCTGGTTCGTGCTGTGTGTGATGGAGCCTGGTTCGTGTTGTGTGTGATGGAGCCTGGTTCGTGCTGTGTGTGAATGGAGTCTGGTTCGTGCTGTGTGTGAAGGAGCCTGGTTCGTGTTGTGTGTGATGGAGCCTGGTTAGTGCTGTGTGTGAAGGAGCCTGGTTCGTGTTGTGTGTGATGGAGCCTGGTTCGTGCTGTGTGTGAATGGAGCCTGGTTCGTGTTTTGTGTGATGGAGCCTGGTTAGTGTTGTGTGTGATGGAGCCTGGTTCGTGTTGTGTGTGATGGAGCCTGGTTCGTGTTGTGTGTGATTGAGCCTGGTTTGTGTTGTGTGTGATGGAGCCTGGTTCGTGCAGTGTGTGAAGGAGCCTGGTTCGTGTTGTGTGTGATGGAGCCTGGTTCGTGCTGTGTGTGAAGGAGCCTGGTTCGTGCTGTGTGTGAAGGAGCCTGGTTCGTGTTGTGTGTGATGGAGCCTGGTTCGTGTTGTGTGTGATTGAGCCTGGTTCGTGTTGTGTGTGATGGAGCCTGGTTCGTGCTGTGTGTGAATGAGCCTGGTTCGTGCTGTGTGTGAATGAGCCTGGTTCGTGCTGTGTGTGAAGGAGCCTGGTTCGTGTTGTGTGTGATGGAGCCTGGTTCGTGTTGTGTGTGATTGAGCCTGGTTCGTGTTGTGTGTGATGGAGCCTGGTTCGTGCTGTGTGTGAATGAGCCTGGTTCGTGTTGTGTGTGAATGAGCCTGGTTCGTGCTGTGTGTGAAGGAGCCTGGTTCGTGCTGTGTGTGAAGGAGCCTGGTTCGTGCTGCGTGTCAGTGAGACACTGCACTGCAAGATTACTCAAAGATGGAACCATAGCAATGGATTATTTAATCCATATATGCGGAACTTTGAGGGTATGACCACGTCGCAGTAGAATTAGCAGCAGGAGTTTATGCTGAGTATTATCCGAAGTAGTATCATCACAAGGAGCTAATGCGGAGTCGTATATGTGTAGTATATCCGCAGTAGTTTCAGCAGTAGTATATGTGCAGCAGGATTCAGAGTAGTAGCATCAGCAGGAGTATATGTGTGCTGTCGTAGTATCAGCGGTACTATATGTGCAGTAGTATCAGCAGTAGTATCAGCAGGGGTGTAGTGTGTGTAGTAGTATTAGGAGCAGCAGTAATTAGAGCAGGCAGGCGGGGTCTCGGTGTCACGGGAGGTGCCGCACCCTGTGGTTCCCATGCGTTTCCTTTCCGACAAAAACAATTTAAGAGTCATCATCATTATCGTGTTCCCGTCATCACCATCATCATCATCTTCGTGGGTTCTTGCTCATTTTAGCATCATCTTGGCAAACTCGCGCAGGTGAGTTGCGAAGGCGTGAAGGTGACGTGTGGGCAAAGGGGTAGAAATGAAGGTGTAGGGGAGGTGTGCAGGTAGGTGTGCAGGTAGGTGAGCGGTTGTTGATGGAGTTATGGAGATGTGAGGTGTGGTAAATGTCTGCCCGTGAATGTGTTTGGCTGAAGGTGGAGTGACTGTGTCCATGTGATTGATTGAAGGTGTACAGGTGAACGTGTGCAGGCAAAGGTGTTGTAGGTGACGTGAAGGTTGGTGAATGATTTATCAAGGTGTGTAGGTGACAGTGTCGTGCAGCAGTGTACAATACGCATGGTGATGAAAATATCCAGGTGAGTGCGCAATGAAGGTGTGCAGGTGAGAAGGTGAATCATTGATGTGGTGTGAAGGTGGACACGTGAGTTCACGACCAAGGTGTACAAGTGAATACGCAGCGAATGTGTAAAGGTGTGCGGGTGAATGTGGTGCACGCAAGCAGGTCAGCGCGCGTTGAAGACGCGGCGCAGATGAACGTGCTATGAAGGCGAGCGCTTGCAGGTGCATGCGGGTGCGCGACCTGAAGTGGTGCGGGCGTTGTCGGCGCGCAGCTGAGACCGCGTGCGCGCCGTGCCGCCCCGCAGGGGGCCATGTCCCGCGCGGATCTGAGCGCGGTCCCCGCCTTCTTCTCCATCTCCATCCTGACGCTCGCCGTTCCGCTCAACCTCGCGTCGCTCGGGCTGCTGTGCGCACACGGCCGCCGGCGCCGCTCCCCCACGGCGCTCTTCATGATCAACCTCGCGACCTCTGACCTCCTCTTCCTGCTCAGCCTCGCCTTCCTCGTGCCCTACTACCTGAGCGGCCACACCTGGTGCCTCGGCCGCGTCATGTGCCACGTGGTGACCACGGCGCTCTTCACCACCACCTACACGAGCACGCTGCTCCTCACGGCCATCGCCGCCGACCGCTACGTGGCCATCGTCCACCCGTTCCAGGCCAAGGCGTGGCGCAGGGAAGGCTACGCGGGCTTGGCCTGCGCGGCCATCTGGGTGGCCACCTCCAGTCACCTGGGGGTCCTCAACGTCGTGGACTTCCTGGACGTCGGCGGCGGCGGCCGCAACGACACCAACGGCACGGCGGGGGCGACCTGCTACGAGTCGTTCAGCGACAGGGACTTGCGCTTCGTGTCCTCCTACCGCCTCTACGTGGCGATCGTCTTCTTCTTCCTCCCGCTGCTCGTCACCGCGTTCTGCTACGCGAGTGTCATCAGGAGCCTCTCGAAGCAGGCAGCCGAGCGACGCGGCTCCGCACAACGGTCGCGCTCCGTGCGGCTCGTTGCTGCCACCATGGCGGTCTTCTTGCTCTGCTTCGCGCCCTTCAACGTGAGCCACGTCATCGGCTTTGCCAGGACCGAGAACATCTGGTGGCGCCACGTCTCCCTCATCCTCAACTCCCTCAACTGCTGCCTCGACCCCCTCATCTACTATTTCGGCGCGTCCAGGGGATCCGGAAGCTCGGGCGGTGGTACCAGGAAGGGGGCGAACAAGGGGGTGAACGGCCCCCCCAGGATTCGTGAGGAGTCCCAGAGTGCCGTGTGAGGAGCAAGGACCCCCGTGGGGTAGGGTGGTGTGGGGACCTCAACGATGAGGCCATGCCAGGACCCAATGGGGTCCGAGTCACTGCGACCTCCGCCCCCCCCCTCCCTCTGCGAGAATGCATCGGAGCCATGGCTCCTCCGATTAGCACGGTTGGCTACGTACGGTGTGAAAGAAGTCCAACATACATACATGGCTGGGAGATGTGAAAACCTCTGCACTGATGAGTAGCGCTGCAGACAGGAGCCCCAAGCCTAAACCTCTAACCCGAACTACAAGCCCAACCTAAAACTTTTAGACCTAACTACAACAACGCTAACCATATTGCTCTGACATTAACTAGAATCTCATTACTATTAACCTCTAACCCTGAATTAACCTTATCTTTTAATCCCATAATACTAACCCAAAACTAATGCTGACTCGAAGCCACTATCCCTAATCTCAATCTCAACTCTAACACTAATCTTTTCTTAACTCGAACCCCCGAACCCCAACCCTCTCATTATCTCTAACTCTATTACAATTTATTCATGAATTTAACCTATATTCTTGGCTAGCGCATACACGCAGACTTTGAATGAGTGTAAGGAGCCTCCTGCTGGTGCCAGGGACCTCGAGTGTAGTACTTGAAGTCCAGCTGATCGTGCAATGGGCCTAGTTGGCCAGAGGTCATGGGATTGGCTGAAAAGTTTGAAAAGGGGCACCCGTGAGGAGGGGGGAGGGGAAATTAATGGGTCAGAGAAGGTTCGAGGACACGGTGGGGATGGAAGCGGGTAGAAGGGGCAGAGAGGGGGTCACCAGAGGGCCGTTGGTGTTCGCCCGAGAAGTCTCCGCAAAGCGCGTTGGACTCTTCTACATCTGGTAGCAGCGGTGGGATGTCGCCTTCACTCCGCCAAGCGTGAACATTCCGTTGGGAGACTGGGAGGAGGACGGAGCCGCGGTTACGTCGGGCGGCTCGGGACGAGCCACGACAGGAGACGGGGAGCCAATCTGTCCTCTGCGGACCAGTGCCGCCGTTGTCGGGAAGTTCGCCACCAGTCCGCCGAAGCAGCTGTGCCAAGCGCTACGCCCGCGATGAACAGACCGAGGTGCGAGGCTCCGCCTCGAGTAGGAGAGGAACTTGACAGTTACGGAGCTGCTCGCTACGCTGCTGCAGTAGCAGCGGTCGGTAACAGAGCCCGCACCACCCGCAACACACTGAGTTACAGCAGCTGCCACTGGTAAAAAGTGCCATCAAGGTGGGGCAATCGACGTTGGCCACCCTGTCGCCTAGACGAGCCGACCCCGCCACTGCAGTTGTCTCACCGGCCGCCAACCACAGGGGGAGGGGGGGAGGTGCGGTGTGGGGGGGAATGTCACAACCGACCGGCGGCAACCAGGAGCCAAACCAGAGCAGGGCCAAACCGACCTGCGGGAACCACCCAAGTGGGCCAGGGGCGGTGGGAGATGACGCTGAGGCCACCGGGTCGCTTTGGCCCTGCAGATAGGTTCCCAGCTACGGGTGGTGATTGGAAGTACCTCTTGAAGCGGCGTACACCGTTCTGGACTGGACTGGAGGAAGCACTAAAAACTCTGGAGATGCACAACCCCCGTCTGGCATGGTTCAAGGACTCCAGGACTGCCAGCCCCACGGAATGACTCCGAGTCAGCCTTGGCGTACTGCAGGACACTGTTGGTGTTGGGTGGAGGCGCCGTTCCACGCTTGGCCCAGGTGGCGCGAGGTTCATTGGTGGTGGAGCGGCGCTTTATCTTCGCCCGACGGGCGAGCGTTGTGCTGCCGGTAACGTAAAAAGCTCTACGCGCCTCCACGTGGGATCCTAGGAATATTCAAGCACACGCAGAGGTGAGTAATGGGGCCGGCCTTGGTGCTGGCGCAGGTAATGGAGGGTGCCGACGGGCTGGCGGAAGCAACAACGGTGACAGGGACAAGGGCGGCGCCAAACGGCGACATCGCTGCAAGATGTCGTAGCGTCGATCCATGTGCTGCCAATAGCACACAAGTTTTTTAGCGGGCAACAACCACGCCATTGGACTGACCGAGACCCTGCTGCAACAACTCGCCCTCACACCATCACGACCTGCCACCGCCATGGCCAGTAGGGCCGCATTGCAAGAGAGTGCCGCATTGCAAGAGAGTGCCGGAGCGAACAAGCTGCGACCCCCGACGTGCTCCTCACCTTGACGCCGACACGATGCAGGCGAGTGGCGGCGTCCTGGACCTCCCGGGCAAACTTCTCACCCACGTCATCACCGCCCCAATTCACCTCGCACACTGTGACATCCGTTGGCGTCGCTATTACCCCTCGGGCGTTATAAAATAAACTCCCTTCGACCTCTTTGCCACTCCGTTCTACCTCGGAGCCTGTCCCACGGCCTGACTCGGCAGTGGCGTCAACCGGCGAGACGAGTGGTTGGGCTGCAACATCGGGGATGTCGGTTTCGCTCGGGTCGGTGGCGGCCGTAGAAGTGCGCGTTTTGATTGGCACGGGTGCTCCAGCCGCCATCATGTTCACTCGTAAGTTTCACATGTTGCCCGAGGAATTTCGCCAGTTGTACCCGATAGGGGTACATTTGATAGCGGCAAGTGGGGGTAGCATGGGGATATTGGGACAGGTGAGAGCTCCGGTGTGTATTGGTGAATTGTCGATCATTCTAGTGTCCAACATGCTTCCCGTTCCTGGATTGTTGGGTACAGATCTCTGGTGTGGTATGCCCATAAAAAATACCACAGAGTACGTGTGGAGACCCCTTTGGGGAAACACCTCTACTTAAGAGCAGAAGGTGCCGATGCCCCTCTATGCGGACTCTGGTCAGCGACTCCGTGACCATTCCTCCCGCAGCCCAGATGTCGGTCCTACTACGTGACCGCAACCCCCTTGTTAGCACTCGAGCGGATGCCTATCCCGGTCTCGCCAACATCTCTGGTCACAGAGTGGCGCTCGTTGGCAGGGGCGGACACAGTTTTGTTGAACAGCAGTTTGTTGCACAAGTTCTGAACACGTCAGACAGAGCTACGAGCATGCCGGTGGGGGCCTACGTAGGACTCCTGCCCACCCTGGAATGCCAGGGCGACTTTGCGCCGATAGGATCAGGAGAACGTCCCTCAGGAGATATTGACGACTCATGGGTGAACGCTGTCTCAATGGAACATTTAAATGTGTCAGCCGATCAGGCTAAGAAACTCCGAACGTTACTAGAGAAATGTGCCAATGTCTTTAGTAAAAACAAAGGAGGTGCGGCACCTCTTCATCAGAATTCTTACAGGACGAGCCCAGTTGATAGAGATAAATGTGTTGCAACCGGTGCAGGAAATGCGGCAAAAGTTATTTCACCGTCAAACACGATGCAGTCATTCTGGTCAAGACGTCAGACGGCTCGCTGCTTTCCTGCGTGGATTTCCACCGCATTGACAAGGCCGCCTTACCACCCCCGCATGTAGACGACTCCTTGGATGATTTAGCGGGAGCTAATTCTTTAAGCACCGCCAATATTTTGTTGGGTTTTTCACAAGTGCCCCTTGACACCGAGTCCCGCCATAAAACTGAATTGCAAACTGCATTGAGGACTCCATAAGGGATGACAAAGTTTAACTGCTTTCAGATGGTTCTTCGGACGGTGCCGGCAGCTTTCTATCTTATGGAATGGAGTTCGTGGGCCTTCATTGGGACACATGCCTCACGATGGCGAGATGTTAACGACCTCACCTTGTTTACAGGAGACCGTGGGTTTGATCCCCACCCTGTATATTTGGAGTTTGCAAGTTCTCTCCGTGGTTGCGTGGATTTTTTTTCCAGGTCCTCCGGTTTTTCTCTCCACATTTAGATTCAAATATGCGTTTAGAGTATTTGGCTGCTATCAATTTCCACGTGATAAGTCACTTCGTTGAGCTATCATTTGTGGCCAGGTTGCTTCTGAAAAAGAGCTATATCGCTCAGTGGGCCTTGCCTGGAGGAAAAAACAGGGGGAAACATTCAAATTGCAAACATACAGGCTTCAGGGTCGGGATCGAACCCACGACCTCCTGTATGCCAGGTGAAGTAGTTAACATCTCGCCACAGCGGCACGATGCTAACTACCTCGCCTGGAAAAGTAACAAGGTTTCAACGGTCCGTGTCTAATTATCGCCGGTTTGTGGCGAACTTCGCTACAAACCTTTTCATGCCCTGACATGTTAAATATGAGGGTGCTTTTGGAGGTCTAACTGAAGAGACAGCCTTACCTACAGCGATGCTCGTTGTTGATGATGGCACCTCCCTTTTCACGTTATCTTGACTTTGCCCTCCCATTCAGCCTGGACACGGACGTCGGTGATGTTGGGATTGTAGCCGTGCATTCACAGACGCAGCAGGACCAGGAGATGGGCATCACGTATGGCAGCAGGCACCGGTTATTGCCAGCAGAACAGCGCTGTGCTGTATTACCGCTGCGAGCTGCTGGCTGTTGTTCACTTCGTTTAACAGTTACGACCCTACCTGCAGGGCCATACATTCACAATGCGCACTGACCACACTGCACCACAATGCTCATTATGAATTGATCAACCATCAGGCCATCTGGCCAAATGGTTTGAACACCTGCAAGAAGATGCTTTTATGGTCGTACACAGGAAAGGTGCACGGCACGCTCATGCTGATGCTCTGCACCTCCGATTAGCACGGTTGGCTATGTACGGTGTGAAAGAAGTGCAACATACATACGGACCGTCTATCCCCACCTGTGCCTTGTACATGCATCACGGGTGCACACACAATGCAAAGACAATCTCCCAAAACGAGGCTGCAGCGGTCGTTCCCGTTTACGCGCTGCCAGGTGACGTGATTGCGACTTCAGGCTAATTCGGGCGGCAGACTGGTAGCGGCTGCATGTAGAGGAAAACTCCTTGCAGCCGCAACGCAGCTCAGTCCGCTAGTGCCGATTCGGGGTCATCGGAAAGCCAGCCATATGTTTTGTGGAATGACCTCTACTGATTCGTTGGGATGTGTCCACCCAGCGTCGCTGCTTAGTGGGAACCGACTCCACTACGCCAGAAGCTATCCGTCGACATACATGCTCACCAGCGTATGCACCTCGGAGGACGTAAGATGACATCTGCCTTGCAGGGTCGTTATTTTTGACCGCGTTTGACTGCGGATGTACATCGATGGGGTCGACCCGTGTGCCAGGATTGTACCTGCCACAAACAAGCAAACGGCAGCCACACGACCACCACGACGATCCATCGCAGTGTCAGGAAGGGTGAACAGTTTCGTAGCTACGGGCTTGTTGGGGCCTTTTGCCAAGACACAAAGTGGAAATCGATTCTTGCTCGTGGGGGTCGAATGCTGCATTGACTGGCCGATGGCTTGGCCTCTTGCGGGACCCGACTGCTCAGTCCAACGGGCACGTCAGAGACGAGGGCCCTCCGCAAAGGCTGTGAATGAACCCGGCGCAAGCACGCGGTCTGTTCTCCTGTCACGCGTGTTTCTATAATGCGGATGCGAATTGGATGAAACGCGATTGAGTGAACAGAACTACGTCACGCAAGTCGGAATAAGCGGTTGTGCGGCTGCCTCAGCGTAGCTACACACAAGACGGGATGCTGCTGGATGCTTCTAGAAGCTACCCACGCGCCTCGGTGTTTGTTCAGCCTGCTTATGCATCTCGCGTGTTATCGCGGACTGTGTTTTACCTTCATATTATATATTATAACGCGATTTTCCATAACGCGGTGTTCTTCAGGAACACAACCACCGTGTCACAGGAGAACAGATTGTGTGTTCCTCGCAATTACTCTAAGATGCTTGTGAGATGCTAAGGACTTAAAAGGTGCATGCGAAGAACGCAGACTGAAACCTTAACACTTTCCGGCAGTTTTGACGGCATACAGACTAACCCCTCCACAATGACTCTGTTCGGATTTTTCACCCTTATTCTGAGTGCATGGCCACAACTTTATCCCACCTATTGAAGCACAGCTGGCAGACATCCCGGCCTGAGCCGATACACGGTGGACGTCCTTTCGTCACTCTCGAGCATACTCACCCATGGCTCGTGAGGCTGGCCTGGCCACCTCTCGTGGATGCACTGGTGGCTCACGAACAAATTCGATTTGAGTGGTGAGACACTCTATACCTTCGAAATTTGGCGAACCTGGCGTGGATCCACTGGCCACAGGTCCCATTGAGCACATCGGCTAAGCAAGGCCCAGTGACATTCGTTGCAATTGGGATGCAATTGGGACGACTTGGGTTTGTTTAGCCTTCTCAAGCCAGTCACGAATGCATCACCACGTCTCATACCATCCACACCAATTAATCCCGCCTCACAGTATCTGCCAGCGTCTTGGGTGCTACCCACTCTACAAGTGGTGTCCACAGGTCCGCCTGCCTCGTGCACCGGTATACCCTCGCCAGGCTCGATGCACCAGTATACCCTCGGCAGGCTCCATGCACCGGTATACCCTCGGCAGGCTCGCCGGCGGCAACTTTCGTGGCGACTTCGGAACAAGCCACTGGCATCTCGCCGTGCCCGCTGTGCTTGTCCTGTGAGTGGGCATGAGACTAACTCAGGCAACTGCCACTAAGCCTTCGACAATTGTGGTGGTCGTGAGAATGCGATTGTGCACTCGTGGTTCGATGCATTGGCATTTTCTGCTGTCTATAAATTGCAATATTAAAGTCGGCAAGATGTTTTGGTTAGTTGAACGTGGCAATTGCACCATATATAGTAAATATTTTGTTAAGAATGTGAAAACTGTAAATTTTGATTCCACGCTTATATTTGACAGGGTGCACGGGGTTAATGGTTTGCACGCTGTGTCGTTCTCGTTGCGTTCTTGTTAAGATTGGCACATTTTAATAACTTTAGCCAAGGATATGGGGAGGCAATCCTCATTATTAATGAATGTAACCAAGGTTTTTTGGCTCGCGTATACTGAACATGCAGCTATTGAATAAGCAGAAGGAGCCTCCCGTATGTTTGCCTTTCCGTGGTGCCAGGTTCGAGAACACGGGGGGTGGGGGCGGAGGCGGATAACAGAGACGGGTCGTTGGTGTCCTCTCTATGCGTGACCTCTCTATGCGTGACCTCTCTATGCGTGACCTCTCTATGCGTGACCTCTCTATGCGTGACCTCTCTATGCGTGACCTCTCTATGCGTGACCTCTCTATGCGTGACCTCTCTATGCGTGACCTCTCTATGCGTGACCTCTCTATGCGTG